TCACACTTGCACAGGAAGTCGACGCAGCGTAGGAGCCTCATGACGCGCTTCCCCTTGATGTCAGTCCGCCCGTAATTCTCCATGCGCCTCTGGGTGCTGGCGATGTCTTCAGCGATCTCCATCTGACGCTTGACTGCTACTTCGTGGGCTGTCGTGTGTTCGTGGAACCGCATCGCTTGCGTCTGCAGGTCACGTGCCCCGTCGCGGCTGTTGGAGTACGGTGTTGTCTCTTTGCCAAAAGCCTTGCACACACTGCACTTCAACGCAGGGTAACCGTCTTTCGTTTTTGTTAGCAGAAGCCGATGGAAAAATGGAAGCGAGCTGGTCTTATACTTGTGATGAGCCATGAGATACTTCTGCTTGATGAGTTCTTTCTTCGAGAGCTTCGGCGGCTCGGGTTCTCGAATAGCACGGGCCTGAGGTTTAGGCGACGTGCGAGGCGGCGACGGTCGACGTAGCTTCCCGCCGAGGACTATCGTGCTCTGGGTGTACTTCCCGATGTGTGCTTTTTTCCCAGATGAAATCGTGGAAGCACACTCGACCGTGTAACGCATGGTCATGGCTGTCTCGCAGTCTGGAACCCAAGGGCCGCGGCTAGATGAAGCGACAACGGGCGGAGGTACATAGGGAGGGGAAGTAGATACGGGTTGTGATGGTGTTGCGACTGCGGTGGGAGACCGCAAGATATCTAGAGCGGATCTACGGACCTCCACGGGGGGGTCCCTACCTAGTCCAGAACCATTATCGGTGGCGGGAGACTCACCAGACTCTCCTACATCCGCCATGGCTAGTAGCAGCGGATATGATCGAAACGAGAACTAGGCGCGACAAAAGTGGACGAGAAAGAAGAATGGAGCATCTCGTATCTGCGATGTGAAGAAAACGAGGAAACTGGGTTGGAGGAGAAGCTGGTGAAGAAGATGGGAAGGGGACCAAGAAATCCCAGATTTCGCTTTTCATGGACGGTGCATAACCCATCCAGGATCCCACATCGCCATGGCGATACCGTCAATGGCGGGACGCACTTGTGTTGGCGCTCAGCATATTCTGTCCTCGTCTGCTGCGTGCTGAGTCAGGAATGCTAGGCTGGGGCATGACGGAGTGCACCATCCCATACTTAACGGTTGGAAATGTTGCTGAAATGGCAACATACAGTGTGTACATGGCGGGAATGTTGCCAAGTGCAGATTCTCCACGTGACGCCTGCTGGTCGTATTCATTGGACAGGGACCCGTCACGCGTAAGGGGGCCATTTCGCCGAAACTCAGGGTCCGCATGGATGTCGCATTCAGGGTTCGTACGCGTTACTCCCTGAAAACTCAGTTTTGGGATAACGCAAACCCTAAAATTCTAAGTGTTCACAGACATACAACCCTGAAGAGGTTAGGGTTGAAAAAAGTCCAACCCTGAAAATTAAGGGTTGGGAAAAAAAAAACCCTGTGAAATCAGGAAATCATGATAAAATACCCTGATAGCGACAGCACCGGCCGTCACCTCACAGGTCAGCGCCATGATGGGCACTCCCTGGCCGTGCATGTTGATGGCTTGCTTCCCCGACCCCCCGCGCCTGATCCCCTCCCTGCTAACCCCATCACTGCTCAGCATGAGGCCTTTTCTCCTGTTGAGCTTGCCGGCGCTCTCTGGGATTCCCGCGATGCTGTAGCGCAGCTAGCCATAAGTCATGCTCTTCCCCTGTTTGAGTGTCCGCGCTTCTCTGTTGTCACGAATGCCAAGGATTTCTTAGATGCAGTCATTGCGTGCTACTCCATGCCCGCCTCCGCCTCTGCTGGCCGCCTGATCCTCCCTATGCTGTTCCCTGATCTTGCCGCTTTCCCCACTGTCGCTGACCTAGCCACTCATCTCCATGCACTAGTAGCAAGCTATCGCGCTGCTAACACTGACACTCAGCTCACTGCCTTCCCCCCGTCGTTCTGTGCTACTGTGTACCTCATTGTCATATGCCTTCCAGACCGCTTAGCCACAACCTAGTCCACGCACTAGCCTCAGTGAAGGTTGACCTACTAAGGAGACACACCTGCACTGACCTAGGAGAGCTGCACCGCTACATTGGCCTGCAGATCTCCACGAACAGAACATCGCGTACCATTACTCTTACACAGTCACACTTGGTGCGCCAGGTCCTTCAGAGGTTTGGTCTCCAGTTATCCTCTGCACAGCCCACACCTCTGCCAGCAGACCACATGCTCTTTGCTCCAGTTCCTGAGGAGTCAGTAGAGCCCAGTGGTCCTTATGCAGAGCTGGTGGGTTGCCTCATGTACCTGATGACTTGCACTCGTCCAGATCTCGCATACCCTCTCAGCATCCTAGATCGCTTTGTGGCGTTTGACAGACAACGGCCACAGCACTAGACGGCCGCTAAGAGGGTTTTGTGTTATCTGGCAAGTACATCGGGCATGGGATCTGTGCTGGGAGGACGTAGGCCAGTGGTCCTTACTGGGCACACATACACTTCGTGGGCAGACGACGCTGAGACACTCATATCCTCATAGGGCTACTGCTTTAGCCTTGGTTTAGGTGCCATCTCGTGGAGGTCCACGCGCTCCTCGTCTGTTGCCCAGTCTAGCTGTGAGGCTGAGATCTATGCCGTTGCCATGGCGGCACAGGAGCTCCGCTGGCTGACCTTCTTGTTCACTGACTTAGGTGAGCGGCCGAGCTCTGCCCTGGTCCTGTACGCTGACAACAGGGCCATGATCCTCCTGTGTCAGGAGCCTCGACTCGACAGAAGAGCGAAGTACATCCAACTGCAGTACTTCCTCCTGCGCGAGCTTTAGCAGCACCACCAAGCCCGCGTAGTACACTTGGCCCCCGGTGCCAACACAGCTGATATCTTTACGAAGGCGCTTGCGCTTAAAGATCATCAGCGGCAATGTTTGCAGCTTGGCCTAGTTCCTGTAGCTCCTCACTTGCTAGGACCTTGATTATGTCCTCCTCTTATATATATTCCTTCTTGACTGGCCTTGTGACTGCTGTTCTTGTGGTCGGACTAGTAGTGCCGCCCTGGCTGTGCTCTTGTCGAGTTTGTATTCTTCTTGGCTGGTCTTCTGACCCTTGTCTCAAAGGTTGGATTAGTAGTGCCGCCTTGAGTTGCTGGTCTCTTGCCAGGCACTGCCCCTTGTCCAGTCTAGGGGGTGTGTCAAACATATTTGTATATGTTGCTATACACTATATAGGGTCATGCCTTAGCAAGTACAACGTTTTAGGTCAAAACCACGATGCACTTTGTTTTCTAGTTTATCCTGCTACTCTGAGAACGTGCTCCTGGACATCATGCAACTATGTGAAGAAGGGCTCAGAGCTGTGGAGATGTGAAGTCAGCCTGGGCATGGAGAAGAACGACCGCACCGAGGCACTCAATGATGCACTGAGCCAGATTGACAAGCATCCCAAGAATTTTTATGGAAATATCCACACCAAGCGCTACCCTGATGGTGCCATGCGTGGCCAGCTGCGTAAGGTATAGGAACCTTGATAGTCTATACTGAGATACCGGCGTATTGCAACTCAAGGTGGATGGAGAAAGTTATTTTGGAGGGAGATAATGTGGTTTAGGTGGAGAGGCTTTGGAGAATGGCATTCCGTATGAGAATGGCAACAGGTTTTTGGCAAACGGGTGGTCATGGTTATAACATATCCAAGGTGTACTCATGTACGTGTGCTTTTCAATGGCAATACAATATGCGATTATGGGCAGTTGAAATTACAACTCCTTTCTCTAGATGCTGTAGAATCTATTTTTTTCTGTAATGGTGTGGCGAGCGTTCCTCAAGCGGGAGTTTGAAGTGCGCCACATTGCGTGACATGCTGGGTCTAGGACGGTGATTCCCAGAGTTCGAAAATTGGGGGAATCACTGCCGGGGACTGTCCACGAGCTATACTTTCATGCACAGCAAGCCGAACTTTTCCTTCTCCCATGGACTTATTCCATACTTTCGTGGACCCCAGGCATACATCCACGGACACACGTGAAATTGCGGGGAAAAACGTAAAGCGAAGTGTACAAGGGATGACGGGCGGAAAGACAAAAATATTTCCGAATTCAGGGCTGTCGCAAAAAGTCGCAAGCTACAGTTCCCACAACAATTAAATCAGCTAGCTGGTCCGCGCTATTCTAAGAAATCATGCAGCCACGCTCAGAATCCATGTTATCGACTGTAACATACGAGCTACAATCAATACCATGCTGGCAGGCCTAGTGAGCTCTCATCACCAGAGAATAGAATAACGCCATAACTCTAAACAAAAGGCTTTCAATATTTGCAGTAATAGTTAATAATGCTCACTTAAAGAAAAATATTATGACACATATAGTTATGCCTAATGATAATATGAATATTTGTATCCATGACTAAAATAAGATAATCAAACACCGAAGCGTTCCTTAGCTTGATCAAAATATAAATAGTTTTGATCATGAATTTCACAAACTAAGTAACGAAGGCACTGCATCTGGAAAACACGGGTGTGTAGTGCATACAGTACTGGCTCTTTTATATTGGAAAGATTGCTTGAACATTGGTTGTGTGTTAAAAACGTGGATAATAGTGCAGCTGTGTGACACTACTTTCATGCGCGATTGTGTGCGCAACAGAGAAATCGTAACATTTCATTTCTGAGGTTGCGGGAGTATATTTGGGATTTGGCATGCGAGCGCTGTAGCTCGCGACGCTTTGCGACGCACGCAGTGTCTGTTTTGTTTTCTCCTCGCCCATCATCACTTGTACGGTTCTTTTTATGCATTTTCAGTGCAAATTAGCGTGTGTTCATGGAAGTATGTCCAGAGTCCACGAAAGTATGGAAGGTGTCCGTGGGAGGAAGAAAGCCTCGACGTGCTGTCCATGAAAGTATGCCATGTCCACGGATGTATGAAAGTTTTTGTAGACAGTCCGTGGCAGTAGTTCTCCCTCGTAAATTTGCTGGACACAGAATGCTAAGGGTGCCTTTAGCGCACGGTTCCATCCAAGGGATTCGCAGGCAATGTCGTTCCTGCCACACTGCCAGGCATCGGTTGAGCATTGCTACGCTTTCGCATCCCCTCTTTGCTCTGGTCGCGTAGTTTCCCGCCGCCGTACTACTGACTGATGCCTTGGAATCGTGCAGTCATGCGTTGATTTACTCGTTGCGCGTCTAGCCGGCACACGGAGGCGCGAGGCCTTTAGGCTGGCGAATTCGTCGTCGACGGCGACGACGGCGACGACGGGAACGACTGCTACGGGATTGCGAGCGACGGGTGTTTGTTACGAATACGAATGCAGCAGTCTTAGCGCTCGCAGGTGGAGAGACATGCTACTGGTTGTGGTGATTTTTTTTTATTCTCGCTGTCGATGACTTCTGAGATTTCTAAAAAAATCACCCGCAGCGCGCCCAGCGCTCGCAGGAGGTGATCCGTGCTGCTTTTTGGGGGTTCGCCGCATTAGGACTTTTGACTTTTGAGCGGCCTCAAAAGTCACACGAGTACACGCATGCACGCGTGCTGTAGGTAGCTGTGTAAAGAGCATAGAAGCGGGCTACTGTAATGGAGAGCTGTGAAAAGGAGGAGGGAGGCTTCGCAAGCGTGGACGCCACTACTTGCGCCTCTGGCGGCGGTTCTCGGGGGGGCGATTCGAAGAAGTCGAGGAGCGAATCCAGTGAGGGTAAGGGCCGCAAGGGGCAGAAGAAGAAGCAGAAGGCGCTGCTGAGAGACGCGCAAGAACGGCTTAGGAGGGTCGAGGCGTCTGGAGGAGGGACGCTGGTAGCCACAGGATGGGGAGACGATAGCATAGGGGAGAGCCTTAGTGTGGTAACGGGGAATTTTGGTGCTGTAACGGAGAGTACGATAACGGGGAGAAATCAAATGGAAATAAGGGCGCAGCCTACCGGTTGGGGTTGTCAGGCCGGTGAGTCTGCTAATAGAGTGGAGTCCGGAGTGGTGGAGATGGGTGCAGAAGTGTACAGGGAGCAGCCAAGCGGTCAGTTCCAGGGCTACGGTGCAACTAGGCAGTTCGGGCGGGAGGCACTTGGGGGGTTTCGGGGGGTGGCGGAGGGGCTTGGGGGGACAGGGGGAGGGCGCAGCTGGGGCGGGCAAGGGGAACAAAACTGGGGAGGGGGGGGCGATGGGTACTCGGGAGGAGGGGGAAGCTCTGGGTCGGGCGGAAGTGGGGAAGGGCGCAACTGGGGCGGGTGGGAGGGGGGGCGAGTGAGCGGATGGAGACGTGGGGAAGGGGATGGGGCAGAGGCAGGGGAGGGGGGAGGGGCAGGTGGGGGAGCGGTTGGGGGAGGGGACGGGGACGAGATAGGGAATATGGGGATCGAGGTGGTGGCTATGGGGGGGGAGGATATGGAAGGGGAGGGGGATATGGGGAAGAAAGAGGATATAGGGGAGGAGGCGGGAGGTATGGGGGAGGAGGAGGAGGGTATGGGGAAGGGGGGGAGTATGAGGGGGGAGGAGGATACAGTGGGGAGAGTGGGGGTCAGCATGGGTGGCAGGTGGAGGAATACAGTATGCAGTGGCAAGGGCAGGAGCAAAGCGGTTGGCCGGCGCAATGGCAGGGGCGGGGGCAGACGCAAGGGCAGGGGCAATGGCAGGGGCGGGGGCATGGAGGGGAAGCGGGAGAAGGAAAGAGCTGGGGGGAAGGGCGTCACGTCGGAGGTGGGCGCGGATGGGCTGGAGGGCAGCAGCAGCAGCCACAACAGGAGCAGTATTGGCAAGGGCAGAGGCAAAGTCAAGACCAGGGGGGCGGGCAGGAGGGAGGGTGGGAAGGGCAGGGGGGAAGCGAGAGGCAACGGGGGGACCCGGGGGAGGGGCCATGGGGGAGGGAGGGGCGGATGCAGATGGAGAGAGAGGGGCAGAGGCCGTGGTGGGGGAATGAGGGGCGGAGGGGAGGGGGTGAGGAGGCATGGGAGGGGCAGGGGGAGTGTGGAGGGGAGTGGCAGTGGCAGAAACAACAGACTGATTCTTCCACGCCTCATGCCGAACCCGGACCTCCTGGTTCGGATCGTTCCGAACCTGCCGTGAGCGCTGCTCCGGCTGCCGCCAGCTGTCCTAGAGCTGCTGTTGCTTGTCCTCCCACGGCCACAGTGGAGGAAACAGCTGGGAAGGTTCCAGTGTACGATGGATGGGGGGATATAGTGGGATGGAGGGATGCTGAAGAGGGGACCCACGCACGCAGTGCGCCTGCTGGCGCTGCCGCTGCTGCTGCTGCTGCTGCTGCTGCTGCCGCTGCTGCTGCTGCTGCTGCTGGTGTCACACCTGCTACTGTCACACCTGCTACTGTCACACCTGCTACTGTCACACCTGCAACTGTCACTCCTGCTACTGTCACTCCTGCTACTGTCACTCCTGCTACTGTCACTCCTGCTCTTGACCTTGCTTACGCTGCTCCTGCTGCCACTCCTGCCGTTGTTGCTGCTGCCATCACTGTTGCTGCTGGTGATGGTGGTGGCAACAGCAGCAGCATCAGCAGTGGTGGCAGTGCCGTGCGAGCAGGCAGGCGGGCGTGGCAGGTGTACATACCGCCAGTGCAGAAGGACGCTGGGGAGACGGCTGAGAGGGAGAGGCAGAGAGAAAAGGAGGAGAGGGTGGCGGTTGGTGGGGACGAGAGGCAGGCCGAGGTGGTGCCGCCTCAGGGCGCCTGGAGTAAAGGGCCTCCCAGCAACTCTGCTGCTGCTGCTGCTGCTCCTGCTGCTGCTTTTACTGCTGCTTCTTCTGCTGCTGTTTTTACTCATGCTTCTCCTGCTGCTGCTGGTACTGCTGCTTCTCCTGCTGCTGCTGGTACTGCTACTTCTCCTGCTGCTGCTGGTACTGCTGCTTCTCCTGCTGCTGCTGGTACTGCTGCTTCTCCTGCTGCTGCTGGTACTGCTGCTTCTCCTGCTGCTGCTGGTACTGCTGCTTCTCCTGCTGCTGCTGGTACTGCTGCTTCTCCTGCTGCTGCTGGTACTGCTGCTTCTCCTGCTGCTGCTGGTACTGCTGCTTCTCCTGCTGCTGCGGATATTGCTGCTGCAGCAGCTGCTGTTCCAACCTTCTCACCTTCCACTCCCAGCCCCCCTGTTCACTCCCCCAGCCAATGGCCATCTGCCACGTCACAGCCAGGCGGAAGAGGAGCAGGGGGGGGATGGGGGAGGGGGAGAGGGAGGGGGAGGCGGGGGAGGGGATGGGGGAGAGGAGGCAGGGGGGGTGATTCAAGAGGCTTGGGAGAGAGTGAGGGTTGGAGAGGGAGTGAGGAGGGAAGTGTGGGTGGTGGTGTGATGAGCGAGAGTGGTGAGGCGTGGGGAGCGACAAGGAGTGATGCGGTTTGGAGGGGTGCAGAGGGGCAGTGCGGATCCTTATCCCCATCGGCCTCAGCAGCATGGTCATCACCTCCTCACCGCCTTGCAGCAGCACCACCCCTCCCTGCCGCGCCACCACCCTACCTCCCCCCGTCCATCACCCCCTACCTGCCCCACTTGCTCCTGCCGGCTGTGAAGCCCTCTAGGAAGGCACAGCGCACGGAGGAGTGGGTGCAAGAGAGCGCTGCTGCTGTCGGTGTTGACGATGGTGATGATGGTCCTGAGACTGGTACCGGCGAGGGAGCTGGCGAAGCTAGTACTCACACTGCTGCTGCTGCTGCTGCTGCTGCTGCTGCTGTGGTGGCTGCTGATGGCACTGCTGCTGCTGTAGGGAAAGAAGCAGTTGGGAGTGCAGATATACCGTCAACAGATAGAGGATCAGCAGATAAGCCTCCAGCAGACAAGCTGGCAAAGGGCACAGCAAGAGCAGATCCACGAGATGCAGGTGCGTCAGCAGCAGGAGACATGGAGGGGTGTTGCACAGGGGAAGGTGAAGAAACGACGGGAGAAAGGCAGGGGACACTGGGAGGTGCGTTGGAGGTACAGGTAGATGGCAGGGGTGGGGGCATCTCGAGTGCTCAGGCGAGCTGCAAGCGGGGAGAGTGGGAAGAGGGGGGGAGTGAGTGTGGAAGAAGAGGGAGTGAGTGTGGAGCAGCAGAAAGAGCGACAGGGGAGTGCATGGCTGGTGCAGCAAGAGCAGTTGGAACAGCAAGCAGCGAGGCAGAAGGCAGTGCAGAGGAACCGGGCCAGTGTCCTGTTGATGGTGCGAGTAGCAATCCTGTGGAGGCTCACGAGGGCACAGAGGGGAGAAGCGAGGAAAGTGGTGGAGAGGCGACCTTTGAGTCGACTCAAAAGCTATTCTGTGCAGGGAGAGATGGAGAGGGGGGTGGGGTTGAGGCGGCCAAGGTTAGTGGGGAGCAAGGGGAGCATGCGAGAGAGGGCAGGCGGGGTGTTGATGGGGGGAGCGAGGCAGGAGCCGGCAGCAGCAGCGCGTGCTATGAGCTTCGGCCCACTGCCTGCTCCTACTCGGGTGGCAGGGAGGAGGTGAGAGAGGGAGGTGGAGATGAGGGTGGGGTAGCAAAGGAATGCGGCTTGGAAGTAGGGGAGGACGGAGAGGAGGACGGAGGGGAGGAGAAAAAGGAGGACGGAGGGGGGGTGGGAGGGGAGGAGGAAGCAGAGAAGCGAAGGGAGGCGGGAGGGGAGTTGGGAGGAGAGGAGGGAGGGGAGGAGGGAGGGGAGGAGGCGGCAGGCAGCAGCGCATGCAGTGAGCTTCTATCCAATGCCTACTCGTACTCGGATGGCGGGGAGGGCTTTGAGTCAGACGTGGACAGTGAGGAGGAGATGGAGTCGCTCTTCCTCGACAGCACTCTGGGAGACGACTGGCCGCTCTACGGCGTGGGGATGGGGGGCATGGCGGCCCACGCGGCAACAGGAGGAGGAGGAGGGACGTCTGCTCAGGTACGTTGGGTGAATGGTGTGAACCTTAGTCTGGATGGAGAGGAGGGTTTTGGCTTGGATGTTGAGAGTGAGGCGAGGGTGTTGGTGGGTGATCCTTGGGGGAAGACTCCTGCAGCGTGCGGCGCTGGCAAGCATGCGCGTTTCTCATCGCACGCGTTCCTCTCTTCCTCGCCCCCCCTCTCCCTCCCTTCCCCTTCTCTGCCCCACCTATCTGAATCTCAGCCTGTTCGCCCATCCCTCCACGGCTTCGACATGCTCTCACCATCAGCATACCGAGGCAACCACTCACCAGCGTACAGCACCAATCCGCGGCAGTTCAAGTGCTCCGTGCGTGCTGGAGGGGCGGCAAGGGCGAGGCGGACTGGTGGCAGGGCGTGAGGGCGCTGCTGCTGCACGCGCTGACAATCCGGACTAGGCGAATGAATGACCACCGGGCGTTGTGTGTGTATTCACTCACCCCCCCATCCCAAACCTCTCCTGTCCCTTCTTCCCAGCTATCTGAGCCCGTTCGCCGCTTCCAAGACTTAGACACACTCTCACCATCTGCGAGCCACGGAAACCACCTCGGCAGCAGTCGGCACAGCCAGCGGCAGTTCAGAAGCCCCATGTGCGCGGGTGCGGGTGCGGGTGCGGGTGGAGGTGGCAAGGGCGAGGCTGTTTGGTGGAGCGGCGTGAGGGCGCTGCTGCAGCACGCCTTGACCATCCGGAGCCGGTGGGTCAAGGAGCACTGGGCATTGTGTGTGCGTGCGTCCACTCAACTTCCCCCCCCCCACCCCCATGCCCATGCTCGCCTGCCCCCTGCCTTCTGTCCCGTCTCTCCAGCTATCGGAGCCCGTTCGCCGCTTCCTTCGAGACTTTGACACACTCTCACCATCCGCCGTCCGCGGCGGTAACCAGCACAGCAACCGGCACAGCCAGCGGCAGTTCAAGTGCCCCGTGTGCGCTGGGGCGGGCGGCAAGGGGGAAGCAGACTGGTGGAGCGGCGTGAGGGCGCTGCTGCAGCACGCACTGACCATCCGAAGCAGGCGGATGAAGGAGCACCGCGCGTTCGCTGCTGCTCTGGGGGAGAGCATGAGGGACAGGGGCGCAGGGGTGATGATGTTCGGGGGGACGGTTGGGGGGAGTGGTGGGCAACAGAGGGGTGTGGGGCAGAAGAGAGACGCTAGGAGAGGGGGAAGAGGGGGAGCACCACCGGCAGGAGCAGCAGCATCGCCACCAGCGCCAGCTGCAGCAGCAGCGTGCGTTGCGCCATCTGTGCTCGTGGGGAGTCCCTTAGCGAACCAGTGGCGGGGCGTGGGGGGGTTGAGGGGGAAGGGCGGGAACAGGGGCAACGAGCGGGTGGTGTGGCCGCCTGTGGTGGTGGTGCGCAACACGCACCTGTGCCAGGACGAGGACGGGCAGGTGAGGGCTGGTCAGCCGGTCAACGGGAGTGAGGGGCAATGGTTGTGGTGGGGCGGCCAGTGGTGGCGATGGGGAGCACTCACCTGTGCCACACTTCATTCCACTTCTCCCGCTCCCCTCCTCTTCTCCCATACCCTCCCCTCTCCACGCTCCCCCTTCTCTCGCCCCCCCCAGTGGGTGGGCATGGGCAGCTACGAGCTGCGCCAGTTCTTCCCAGACAGCATCGCTCTCCTCGCCTGTCGTCATCTCCCCTCCTCTGTTTCATACTCCTCTCCTCCTCTCATCTCCCCTCCTCTCCTCTCCTCTCCTCTCCGCTCCTCCCCTTTCCCCAGTGGGTGGGCATGGGCAGCTACGAGCTGTGCCAGCACTTCCCTCTCCCCTCCCCTGCTATTTTGCCTGAAATCCCCTCCTCTCTCTCTCTCTCTCTCCCTTTTTGTTCTTCCCCTTCGTCTCTTGTTCCATACCCTCTTCTCTCCCCGGTCTCCCCTGTTGTTCGTCCGCGTCCCACTCGTCAGTGGCTGAGCATGGGCAGCTACGAGGTTCGCCCGTTCGTTCCTCCTCCTCTCCTCTCCTCTCCCCTCCCCTCCTCTTCCATCCCCTAAATTTGCCACGTGTCCTTTCCACTGTTGTTCTTCCCCGTTTTTCCCCCCAGTGGGTGGGCACGGGCAGCTACGAGCTTTGCCTGCTCTTCCCAGACTGCAGCTCAGTCCTCGCCTGTTGATCGTGTTATCTCCTCTCCTCTCCTCTCTTTCATATACCTCTGCTCTCCGCTCCTCCCCTGTTCCCAGTGGGTGGGCATGGGCAGCTACGAGCTGCGCCAGCACTTCCCAGAGTGCGACCGGATCATCAAGGCCAAGAACGCGTACGGGCCGCAGGTATGGATGCTACGACGCCGCTGGTGTGGAAAGCTTGTGAGAAGAGAAGTTGATGATGTTATTGAAGAAATGAGGGTATACATAGGTGTGAGGGTAAGAAAGGGGGGGGGGGGGGTTGGTTGGGACCTTGGGCAAGATTATTGGTCCCCACCAATAATGGAGTTGGGAATTATTGGGGGGTCCAATAATCCGAGCCAAGATTATTGGAGGGTCCAATAATCTTGGTAGGATTATTGGGGCCTCCAATAATTGGGAGGTCAAGCCCATTGGGGGGGGCCCAATAATGGCCAAGGTTGGAACCCAAACAAGGTGGGAAGCCAACCCCTAACCTAGGGTTACTACACCCTAGTAGAGATAGGTTGCTTACACTGACCTAAGCCTTATAAACGATGTAGGCTAATATAGAATAGGGGAATATTCTAACAAAGCTACCATGGCAATGGTATATGGTGCACTTTCCTGTGTGTGACCGAGTCACCGAGGCGAAGAGCGCATATGGGCCACAAATGCGATGGCAAGCCACGGGCCGTAGGTATGCAATGACATGCCAGGGAGCTGCGAAGGACAGGTGATTTCTGTTGTAAGGAACCCTGGTGAAAGCAAATATGGTAGCAAGCATTCTGTGCGTGTGCTTGCTAACAACAAATTCTCACCCTTTCTGCCCCTCCCCCCAGACCATCCCACTGGTCGATCAGTCACCTTTCCCCCCCCACCAGGGCCACCGTGGTGTCAGTGTGCTCTGCATTTTAGGCGTCCGTCGATGGCTTGTTGCAGGCGTTTGCACGCAGAGCAGAAGTGCGAACTCCAAGCCACTATGCGCCACCGCTCCTCTGTCCCTCCCTTCCCCATCTCCCGCTCTCCCCCTCTCCAAGCAGTCTGTGTATTGATGGAAGCCTAGGTAGATGCTACACAAACGGGGAAAGCATGAAGTGAGTGCACGCAGCACTTCATGCCCGCAGCACTTCATGCCCGCAGCACTTCATGCCCGCAGCACTTCATGCACGTAGCCTCGCTGGGCTCCACCAGGGGCTCCAGGACCGCTAGGCAGTCAGCCAAGGAGAGAGCCCCCTCGGGGGAGCCCACCGGGGGGTGCTCAGCTTGGGCAGCCTCATTAACCTTCTTCAGGTAATAAGAGGCTTGTCCCCTCTCCCCCTCTCCCACTCTCCCTCTCCCCCTCTCCCTCTCCCTCTCTCCTCTTCTTCCCCTTCCCCCTCTTCCCCCCACCACCACCAGGGCCATCTCGGCTTCAGTGTGCTGGCATTTGAGGCGTCCATCGATGGGCTATTGCATGCAGCGCAGTTGTGTGGGTGTTCGCAACCAGCAACCTCGCACTCACCCTTTCCCCCCTGGCCCATTGACCCCCCCCCCCCCCCTTCCCACCAGGGCCATCGCGGCTTCAGTGTTCTGGTGTTTGAGACGTCCGTCGATGGCCTATTGCAAGCAGAGCAGCTGTGCGAACTCTTTCAAGCGGACGGCAGGGGGCGGCAGGGCTGGTTCCGGCGGGTGGCAGCGTCACTAGTGGACAAAAGCGGCAAGCGAAACCTGTTTGCCTACATGGCGCAGGAGGGTGACGTGGCGGAGTTCAATAGGCACTGCAAAGGTGGGCCGGGGAGAGGAAAGCAGTGGGTGAGGGGGAGGAATGGGGGGGGCGAAGGGGGTGGGGGTGGGGGGGAGGGGGGAGGGTGGTGGGGGAGGATGGGGTGGGGGTGTAAGGTGCATGTTCATCCTGCATCCTGCGTTGCACATGGTGGCATGTTCGGTGAGGCATGGTACGTGCTTGACGGGACATGGTGCATAACATGGCATGGCACCTAGAATGCCATGGGTGGTACATAAATAGCATGGCACGTGGTGCATGGCACATGGCACATGGCACATGGCACATGGCAGGGAAGGCGCAGGTTAGGGGGGAGGTGAAAAGGCAGCATGCATTGAGCGCCTGAGGGCCCGTCCCCATTCGCATGCTTGGCACGCGGCCCCACCTGTGCGGCCCCACCTGTGCGGCCCCACCTGTGCGGCCCCACCTGTGCGGCCCCACCTGTGCGGCCCCACCTGTGCGGCCCCACCTGTGCGGCCCCACCTGTGCGGCCCCACCTGTGCGGCCCCACCTGTGCGGCCCCACCTGTGCGGCCCCACCTGTGCGGCCCCACCTGTGCGGCCCCACCTGTGCGGCCCCACCTGTGCGGCCCCACCTGTGCGGCCCCACCTGTGCGGCCCCACCTGTGCGGCCCCACCTGTGCGGCCCCACCTGTGCGGCCCCACCTGTGCGGCCCCACCTGTGCGGCCCCACCTGTGCGGCCCCACCTGTGCGGCCCCACCTGTGCGGCCCCACCTGTGCGGCCCCACCTGTGCGGCCCCACCTGTGCGGCCCCACCTGTGCGGCCCCACCTGTGCGGCCCCACCTGTGCGGCCCCACCTGTGCGGCCCCACCTGTGCGGCCCCACCTGTGCGGCCCCACCTGTGCGGCCCCACCTGTGCGGCCCCACCTGTGCGGCCCCACCTGTGCGGCCCCACCTGTGCGGCCCCACCTGTGCGGCCCCACCTGTGCGGCCCCACCTGTGCGGCCCCACCTGTGCGGCCCCACCTGTGCGGCCCCACCTGTGCGGCCCCACCTGTGCGGCCCCACCTGTGCGGCCCCACCTGTGCGGCCCCACCTGTGCGGCCCCACCTGTGCGGCCCCACCTGTGCGGCCCCACCTGTGCGGCCCCACCTGTGCGGCCCCACCTGTGCGGCCCCACCTGTGCGGCCCCACCTGTGCGGCCCCACCTGTGCGGCCCCACCTGTGCGGCCCCACCTGTGCGGCCCCACCTGTGCGGCCCCACCTGTGCGGCCCCACCTGTGCTGCGCAGGGAAGACTCAGTTGTGGGTGGAGGTGAAGAAGCGGCGCGCACTGGTGGATCATCGCCTGTGGATGAACACGTGTGGATGAACACGTGTGGATGAACACGTGTGGATGAACACGTGTGGATGAACACGTGTGGATGAACACGTGTGGATGAACACGTGTGGATGCAGGTTGAGGGCCACCCACCGCCACTCATGGAACCCGTTTCACCCATCTGTGTCGTGCAGGCAAGACTCAGTTACGGGTGGAGGTGAAGAAGCGGTACGCGGTGGTGGACGAGCGGCTGAGAGCGGTGAGGGAGAGGGCTGCTCAGACACCCAACCTGGAGGCCACTGTTGCCATGGTGAGATGAAACGGTTGCCACGGTGAGATCAAACTGTTGCCATGGTGAGATGAAACGGTTGCCTTGGTGAGATGGAGCTGTTACGATGGTGAGATGAAACTGTAGCCATGGTGAGATGAAACTGTGGCCATGGCGATATGAAGCTGATGTGCTGGTGCAAGAAACTGTTGCTATTGCTTCTCAACTCTTTCCGTTTCCTCCTCCGCGTGGCTTTCCCCCTTGCCCCCCCTCTCTCTTCCTGCATCTGATATTCCCCCACCGTTCCCCCCTGTGGCATTCCCCCACCGTCTATCCTCCTCCCCCTCTCCCCACCAGATGTCTCATCGAATCGTGGCGGGACAAGTGGCGGCTTCTCAGCTCAAGGAGGAGCTGGAGCAAGCCAAGGAAAGCAACAGGAAGCTTCTGACAATGGTGGGGGGCGCATGGGGCAAGTCATGGGGGACTAACGACCAGCAGTGGCCGGCTCTTGTGAAGCCAATTGGTGTCGAGGCAGTTGGAGACCGGGTATTGCGGGACGCATGGGGCGAGCAAGTGACTATGGAGGACCAAGGGAGCGATAAGGAGCAGCAACGCTTTAAGGAGTGGCCACGGAAGGAGGAGGAGAAAGTGCCCCCAAGACACGAGCTGGGAGTGCAGGCGTGTCTGGTGGAGGTGGCATCTGGGGTGGGGGCGAGTGAGCAGGAGATGATCACACTGTGGCAGTCGGCAGTAGAGGCGGAGCAGAAGCACTGGAGTGAGGTGAGATGTGGTTGGACGGAGTGGGATGAGGTGAGATGAGGTTGGGTGCTCTTCAGAAGCATGTAGTGAGATGAGGAGGGGATGATAGCACTGTGGCAGCAGCAATAGAGCCGCAGCAGAGGCTCTGGAGTGAGGCTCTGGAGCTCTCGACCTTATCCGTGCCTGGACGGCTATTTCCTCTCACCACCCCTCCCTGCTATCACTGTTCCACTATTTTGTGTGCTTGTAGGTGCCTTGTACCTCAAATTCGATTGCTTATTCCCTCAGGTAGTTGATATACCCACTGCTATGCCTGCTGCTATGCCTGCTGCTATGCCTGCTGCGGTGCCCGCTGCTATGCCCGCTGCTATGCCTGCTGCTATGCCCGCTGCTATGCCTGCTGCTATGCCCGCTGCTATGCCCGCTGCTATGCCTGCTGCTAGGCCTGCTGCTGATGTCTTGAGACATCTCAAAACAGCATGGATGCGCAATTGAGTTCACTCAAATACGTCGCTTGATGCACAGCAGCAGCAGCGGCAGCAGGATGCTAGATTCAAGCTCCTTGCCTCCACCTTCGTTCCCACCCTCTCGCACCCTTCTTGCTGCTTCCCCCCATCCCGTTAATTCCCTTCATTCCCTGTCAGCTGGATCGCCTGGAGGCATCATATGATGCGCAGCAGCAGCAGCAGCAGCAGCAGCAGCAGCAGCAGCAGCAGCAGCAGCAGCAGCAGCAGCAGGTGGAGGGGCAGCTCAAAGCGACTCAAGCTCTTCCATTCTCCCCCCTCCCCCCCACTTTGTCGTCAGCTGGATTGCCTGGAGGCATCATATGATGCGCAGCAGCAGCAGGTGGAGGGGCGTCTGCAGGCGCTTGCAGGGAGGGAGGCGGAGTGGAGGAGGGCGTGGAGAGGGGCGTGCGAGCAGCAGATCATAGCATTGGCTGCCGCTGCTTCCACCGCCGCTGTGCCTGCTGCTAGTGCTGCCTCTGCTTCTGCTGCTACTGCCGCTGCTGCTGCTGCTGCTCCTGCCGCTGCTGCTGCTGCTGCTGCTGCTGCTCCTGCCGCTGCTGCTGCTGCTCCTGCCGCTGCCACTGCACATGTAGATGCCGCATCATCAGCCATTGCTGGCGAGAGTGGAGGAAGCGAGGGGGAGGAGGGAGGAGAGGGGAGTGAGAGAGCAGAGGGAGAGAGCGCTGCAGGTCGTACAAGTGAGGGGGGGACTGCTGCAAGTATCTGGGGCGCCATCAAGGGCATCAAGGGAAGCTGCCAGGAAGCAGTGGAGTACAGGAGGAGTCTGCAGAGGCTGCAGCAGGAGCACCAGAGGGTCAAGGCGGATGCCCTCAGGCGCCACAGGGAGGAAGCTCTGGCTCTTGACCGAGCCTTCGAGGACCGGTGGGCCCGGCTGCTGGCTCTGCAGGAGGCTCGGATGGGCGTGTCCGAAGCTGAGGCTGGGCATGACGACGAGGGGTGGCTTGAGGTTCGGGAAGAGGAAAGGAGGGTTAGCGTGAAGGGGGATGGGTCTGCGGCTGGTGCGGGGAGTGTTGGGCAGTGTGTGGAGAAGTGGGAGGAGCTGGATGCACATGCAGAGCTTGAAGGGTCATGCTAAGGGCCAGCTCCTACCTGCAACCCGTTATCAGAATGACCTCTCGTCAGTCTCATGTTGCAGCTTGCTAAACCGCATTGAACCGACCCGCATCCGATTTGTACTGTACAGCACCCCGAGCCCTAGAAAAGAGGCTTAGCTGATAGGATGTCTCGTGCCAAAACAATGGGCGTGAGGATGAGGAAAGTCGGTTGAAGGGGATTCCGGAACTGTGTTCCTTGGCCGACGTGTGTGTCAAAATTTCTGTACATTAGTAACATGACGCCATAGATTTTATGTGTAGGCATGCATGCGTGCATATAGACAACCCATGATGGGTAGGTGTTGTTGTAAATCTGGATTTTATAGAAACTTATATCTGCTCTGTACTCTGAATATAGTGAATGCGGAACGAGTGTATTTGAGCATGAAGTGAATGCTCAAAACTAATGAGCGTAACAAAGATCACAATGATCTTAATGTGGAAGAATGAATAACTTCCACAAGGCTAGGAAATTGTGGGTCGAGGATGACTCTTTTAGCGGAACACTCACCGCGAGCGATGGCTGGCCGTCGATTCAAGAGTTTGAATTGCGAAAAAAGCACACAAGGTTCGAGAGAGTCTTCCGTGCCTCGCAGCTTGGGTTGCTTGCTTCACCACCTCACCTCGGCACGTGTTCTTCAGCTCGGCAGGTCTTCACCAAACCAAACCCCAACCTGTCAGTTCCCGCCAAACCCATTCTCCACCCCTGCCATTGTCTGCCCAACGTCGTAGACTTTATTTGTGGTCTCTACTTCAGTCCTCACTCTTCCTAGTTCAACTGCGTTTGTCGCCCACGTTTCCTTACGGTGCGGTACATGTATGCTGAAGTCTGGAAAAGAGCATCGTGACGTCACTTTACCAAGCCGTAACCCTGCTTCGCCGTTTTGAACCGTACGACAGTGCAGTCCATCTCCTTTTGGTGGCGTTTCCCCGCTCGTTTCTGCTGGCAACTTCTCAAAGTGAGCTATGGCGGATAGAAGGCAGCGAAATACGTATGCTTTTCTGGGGTCCATTGGCCGTTCGCCATCTGCTGAACCGCCGTTCGCTAGCTTGAACCAGCAACTTTATCAGCAACAGCAACAGCAACAGCAACAGCATCAGCATCAGCAGTATCCTCAGCAGCAACAGCAGCTGCAGCTTCAGCATGGCTACCAGCAACAACAACAACAGCAGCAGCAGCAGCAGCTTATCTATCAGCAGCAACACAACCAAAATCAGCAGCATCAGCAGAGTTATCAACAGCAGCAACAGGGTTTTCAGCAGCAAGAGCAACACCAGCACCAACAGGTTTACCACCAGCAGCAGCAGCATCAGGAGCAGGAGCAGCAGCAGCAACAAGTGTACCATCAACAGCTTCAGCAGCACGAACATGGTTACCACAACTCGCAGCATCATCGTCAGGAGGCGTCGCCTGTCGCATGGCCCACCGTCGCACAAGAACCAGCCAATCGCGTGACGGCAACAACGACAGAGCAAGTCGCTCCGCAGGATCGAGACGTCGGAGTGCAGGACATTATCGCGTTCTGGCGCCAGCTTCAAGCGAGTACGGGAAACCAGCTTCAAGCGAGTACGGGAAACCAGCTTCAAACGAGCACAGCGAATCAGTTTCAAGTGAGCACGGCGAACCAGCTGCAAGCGAGCTTGGCCAGTCAACTGCAAGGGACCGGCGAGCAAGCAACCGCCGCTGCTACGGTGGCAGAGGCGATATTAGCTGCTTCGCAAAGAGGGAGGCCAGAGCTATGGCAGACAACCACAGCCACAGAAGCGCTCGCACCGACAGCAGGCGGAGGGGTCTTTGGGCTGGCAGGAGTGGCCGAACCTGCACGCTTGGGGGCGATATTAGGCATGGGTGCGTCGGGCATGGGAACTTCAGGCTTGGGGACGATAGGCATGGACATGGCAAGCGTGGAAAGGTCAGGCACGGTGCTTACAGGTATGGTGCCGACAGGTACGGTGCTGACAGGTACGGTGCCGACAGGTTCGGAAGGGATGGGCGTGCGAAGGGGGGGCGTGGGAGTTGCGGGTACAGGAAGAAGAGCACCAGCTGTGGCGGTTGACGGAGGCTCGCATGCGCGTGACTCGCATGCACGTGACTCGCACGCGCGTGACTCGCATGCGCGTGACTCGCATGCACGTGACTCGCACGCGCGTGACTGGCATGCACGTGGGTCGGAGGCAGTGGTACATCACCATTTACTGCACGCTACTGACCCCAGTGGCGCCCTTAATCTAAGTACGGAGCAACCTGCTGCTATGGCGTTACCCCCTGCTGGCTATGGCCGTGCGGGGAGGACTGATGCGTATCGTAGCCCAGGCCCTAATGCTGTGGCACAAATGCCGAGTCAACCGCCACAGCAGGAGCCCGCGCCACGTCAGCAGGGGTTCCATGAACCTGTGCCACGTCCGCAGCAGTTTCCG